TTTAGTATCGCACTTCTCTATACTGAAGTCCTTGAATCAGCTTTTAGGCCACTGGCCCAATGACGATAACAGCAGCAGCAACAACAATAATGTCAAAGTGGGTTTTGCATTGTTTTATGTCATTTATTCCCATAATAACTCTGTAAAGGAAATACTCCTGTAGATGAGGAAACTGAGGTTCAAAGCATTTAAGTAACTTATCTAAGGTCAGAGCTAGTGAAGGGCAGAGCTGTGGGCTTAGCTATGACACGATGCAGTCTCTTAATCTTAAATCATTCAATCTCCCTGAATGATCACAAGTCAGTATCTCAGAAACAGCCTAGGCATGTCAACTCTCTCCGCCTTGGAGTATGTCCCTGGTCCCATTTTCCCTCCCTGCTTTCCAGAAAGGCTGAGGCAGCCTTCTATGCCTCTCTGAGTCCTAAAAAAAAAAAAAAAAAAGCACATGTAGAAGACTTTAAAATAGAAAGAGTTATGAGAATAACAAGTTAAAAAAATCTCTCCTCTTTCATTAAGCGTGGATCGGAATTAGAATGGCTTGCTTGTCCAGTTGCTGAAGTAAATTAAAGTGGTAAATGTAAAGTAAGCAAGGTTATGTTTTTAATACAGGAAGGAGAAGAGATGGACAGTGTATTATATCAATTCTCATTCTATGACGTTCAGAGTTTTCTGATTGTCAATACAATCTTTCTTGCAGATAAATGTATTTTAGCATTTTATTACAATATTTAGAGTTTACTTATATCCTTTTAATTATCAAATTTATCTTAAACTCTTATGCATGCTTTATGATACAGATCTTTGGAACAACTGGTTTATACACCAAAGATCTGGTTAGAGTCTTAATTCCTAGAGAAGATAGGTTCATTTGAATTTCCAATTTAGGATGTAATTTCACCTTTTCTTGTTTGAAATGTTTTAATTGGTAAAATTTACAATAATTGGCTTTTTTGTACTCCCAAATCAAAGAATTTAGAAGAGAAGGAAAGTCAAAGAATATGTGTTCAATATATAGGACAATATTAAAAATCAGTTCATTTTTTCAGCAACAGTGAGAATTTATAGTATCAGCAAACAGAAGGTGTTATTTTTCTCAAATCTGGGTTTAATAAATGACTTGACCACATCCATTACTCTGCATGAACAGCCCCCCAGAGTGAATTCTAAATCTTATGGGGAGCCACTAGTTTGTCGTACATTTAAAGTGGCTTTACCATGTGTACAAAAAGTCTTATGTAAAAGAATGTTAGCTGCAAATGCTAGGAAACAGCCCAAGTGTTCATTAATAAGAAACTGGTTAAATATATTATAAATCCATAAAATGGAACATTTCACATCCATTAAAAATGCGGTATCTATATTTATATAGAATGATCCTCAAGACATTTATATATATTTTAAAAATTTTACTGAGGTCATATTGGTTTATAACATTGTGTAAATTTAAGGTATACATTATTATATTTCAGTTTCTGTATAGAATGAATCGTGTTCACCACCAATAGTCTAGTTTTTATCCGTCACCATACATATGGGCCCCTTTACCCCTTTTGCCCTCTCCCCAACTCCCTTCCCCTGTGGTAACCACTAATCTGTTCTCCTTATGCATGTGTTTGCTTATCTTTCACATATGAGTGTAATCATACAGTATTTGTCTTTCTCTGTCTGACTTATTTTGCTTGGCATTATACCCTCAAGGTCCGTCTATGTTGTCACAAATGGCATGATTTTGTCTTTTTTATGGCTGAGTAGTATTCCATTGTGTATATACCACATCTTCCTTATCCATTCATCCGTTGACGGGCACTTGGGTTGCTTCCACACTCAAGACATATTTTTAAGTGAGAAATGAAAGATGGAGAATAGTATATACAGAACACTACTATTTGTGTTTTTAATTTAAAAAATTTTATTTTTCATTTTGAAATAATTTTACATTTACAAACAGTTGCAAAAATGGTACAAAGAATTCCTGTTTATCCTTCACCCAGTTTCCCCAAAAGTTAACCCCTTACATAACTGCAGTGCAATGATCGAAACTAGGAAATTAATGTTGATGCAATTCTGTTAACTAATCTACAGACTGTTTTCAAATTTTTTTCAACCGTCCCACTAAAGTCCTTCAGTGTACTTTAATCTGGGGCAACACCTCCAATTCATCAGTCTTTTCCTTTCATGACTTTGATACTTTTGAAGAGTACTCACTAGAAATTTTGTAAAATGTCCCTCAACTGGGTCTTTCCAATGTTTCCTTATGATTAGATTCAGGTTATAATTTTTTTTTGGCAAGAATACCATAGAAGTGGTGCTGTGCCCTTCACAGTACATATCAGGAGACACATGACGTTGATATGTTTCATTGCTGGTGATGTCAACTTGATCACTTGGTTAAGGTGGTGTCTGCCGGGGTTCTCCATGGTCATGTTATTATATTTTCCTTTTTTAGTTAATAAGTATCTTGTGGGGAGTTAATCAGACTATGTAAATATCTTTTTTTTTCTTTTTGTTAAGGAAGATCAGCCCTGTGCTAACATCTGCCAATCCTCCTTTTTTTTTGCTGAGGAAGACTGGCCCTGGGCTAACATCCGTGCCCATCTACCTCTACTTTATATGGGACGCCGCCACAGCATGGCTTGCCAAGCGGTGTGTTGGTGCGCGCCCAGGATCCGAACCAGTGAACCCCAGGCTGCCGCAGCGGAGCATGCGCACTTAACCAATTGTGCCACCAGGCCGGCCCCTGTAAATATGTTATTACTCATCACACTGTCTTATCTACTAACTTAAGCATCTATTGATGATTTTGCCTGAAACAATTATTACTGTGATTTTTCCATTTTGTGTTTCAAAAAGTGACATACATAACTATGCCCGTATTTGCATAGAATAGTTTGGGAATGATACATCAGAAACTGCAAAAAGTGATTGGCTCTGGGGAAGAGAACTGGGGAAGATGGTGGCTAGACAGCAAAGTTAGGAGACGTCTCACCATGTAAGCTTTTATGCAGCGTGAATTTACCAGGTTCTTTTCTTATGTTTGGTGAGGGGTAGTGGTGGGATCAAATCTGTTAATTTAAAATGCAAAATCATCTTCTCAAGTAACACAAGAAAATCTTTTGCTATCAAATTAGTAAATTTATTATAAAAAACACTGGGAGAGAAGAGAAGCTAAATTCTACTTAAAAAGGATTTTGCTGTTTCTTTAAATACAAATCACGGACTATTTCCTTGTATGATCTAGAAGCAGCACAACTATTTGCGTTTGTGATCCAGAACTGTAGCTAGCTGGTTCATTTTATCTTTA